CATCATCATCATCGTCATCATCATCATCACCACCATCAATAGCAACAACAACAGCAACAACAACATCATTCGCATCAACATCAGCATCAGCATCATAATCATCATCATCATCATCATCATCATCATCATCATCAGCATCGTCGTCATCATCATCATCATCATCATCATCATCATCATCGTCATCATCATCATCATCATCATCTTGTCCATCAGCATCTTCTTCTCCTCCCTTTTCTCCTCCTCCTCCCTCCACTCCTCGCCCGCGCTCTGCCTTCTTTCCCCCATCCCTCCCCCCCTGGCTGCGCGGGGCAGGGCAGGTGCCGCAGTCACTGCTGACCTGTTGCCGCAGCAACTGAAGCTGTCCTCTCCAGGGTACGAAATAAATATAAATACACACAAATAAAAATACTCCCTATACTTTCCTATACTTTCTGGGTTTTTGTCTTCCCCCCCACTTCCCATATTTTCCTATATTTTCTAGGGGATCGACGATTAATTGTGTCTGTGTGTTTTTTTCCCCTCCTGACCCTTGAGGAGCTCTGGGTCTCCCAGATGGGGTCGGAGCAGATGGGGCCGGAGGATCGCGCACTATCGCGCATCCTCGCCGATGCATCGCCGATACGACTCGACGTGGAACCCGGGCTCCTCCACGCCGGCATCGCCGAGGCACCGCCGGCGTCGCGACGCATCGGCGGTGCGGTCCGCTCCGCCGATCCCATCAAGCTGGACTTCATTCGGGAGGCCTGCATTAGCGCACCCTCCTGGAGTGTTGTGGCAAGGCTTTCTGCTGCGTCGACTGTGGCGCCCCATACAGAGCTCCACACGGACCCCGCCGACAGGCCATGCACGCCCCAGTGTGCCCGAGCGTCGGCGCCCCGAGCCTTCCGGGGCCGCCCGCCCAGCGGGCCGGAGCAACCCGCTGCGGTAGGGGGGAACAAGGAGTGGGCACTCCCCCGCTCCCTCGTCGTCCTCCCCCTTCGTCGTCCTCCTCCCCCTCGTATTCTCCTCCCCCTTCGTTCGTTCGTTCCCCCGCTCCCCCAGACTCGCAGTCGGCACGCGCTGGGGAGGCTGCGGTGGAACTGGCACTCATCGGACCCACCGCCATCTCTGAACGCTGGGGGGAGGGGGGAGGCGTCGACCCGTGAGTGTGGCGTGCGTGCTCGCTCCATCTGCTTTTCTGGTCTGTCTTCTTCCCCGAGGCCCGCGTCCGCCCGCAGGGCAGCGTGGCGCCGGGGCCGCCGCCGCGACAGGCAGAGCAGCAGCTCCTGACCGTAGCGCCCCACGGAGCCCCCAGGGGCCGTCTGCGCCACGATCTTCCTCCCTTTGGGCCTCCGGAGCGGTGGGGGGGCCCAGCCTCGCCGCGCGCGCCTGCCGAGGGCTGCGGCGCCTCGGCCGCCTGCCCCCCTGCCCTGGGCGCCGCGGCAGCGCAGCTCCCCCTCGCCCTGGAGGAGGGCGACGGGCGTGCCGTCCTCGCCCTCCCTCCAGGGCGAGCGAGGGCCTCCTCGGGCGCCGCGCGCACCCGTCGGCCCCCCCCCCGGGCTCTGTCTCTCTCTCTCTCTCTGGCCGGCCGCCCGCCGCGCCGGGCTCTCGAGCTCGGCGGCCTGCGCCGCGGGCCGCAGCACGCGCCGCGCCGTCGCGGGCCGGTGTCCTCTGCCCTCCCCCTCCCTCCTGCTCCTGCTGCTCCTGCTGCTTCTCCTCCTCCTCCTCCTCCTCCCTCCTCCTTCGCCTCCTCCTCCTCCTCCTCCTCCTCCTCCTCCTCCCTCCCCCTCCCTCCTGCTGCTCCTGCTGCTCCTGCTGCTCCTGCTGCTCCTGCTGCTCCTCCTCCTGCTCCTGCTCCTCCTCCTCCTCCTCCTTTTCCTCCTGCGGGGGCGACGTTAGGGGGCGGTTGGGCTACGCACCGACCCCCACTCGCTCCTTTGTCCATCCCCGATGTGGGCCTGACGGCCCACCCCGCCCTCGGTCGCCCATCGGCGACGTGTCGGCGATGCGTCGCCGACTCCAGCTCGATGTGCCCTTCTCCCTCCCGTCGCTGCCCCTCGCCCCCACTGCTGCTGCTGCTGCGCCTCCTCGCTCCTGCGCGCCCCCCCGCTCCCCTGGTCGAGCGATCCCTGGCATCCCCGCGCCGTGAAAAGTCTACGATATGAGTCGGGCCTGTCCCTCTACAGGAGGTGCATTCAAAAATGGTCGAAGAATAGTCAGGGGACGATTTTTTGAGCCTTTTTCTCTGCTGTTTTTGAGTCTGTTTCGGGTATTTTGGATTTTTCGTCGAAAATCCCTCTGTAGGTCACCACCTACCAAACCACCCCAACCCAACCCGAAGGCCTCAATTTGCCCTCCATCTCCAGTGGGGGGGGGTCGGGGAACATCAAAAAAGCACATGAAACCCTTAACCCCCCCAACCCGAAATTGGGGTCTTCGGGTTGGGTTGGGGTGGTCTGGTAGGTAGTCAGTCAGGGGACGATTTTGTGAGCCTTTTTCATCTGTTTTTGAGCCTGTTTCGGGTACTTTTGATTTTTCGTCCAAAATTTCGGAGGGCACCATCTATACACCAACACCGATCCTGGCCCAGGATCACCCTGGGCCCAGGATCGGTGTATATGCCTTCTTGCGCAAGGCAGGAGGGCGTATACACCGATCCTGGGCCCAGGGTGATCCTGGCCAGGATCGGTGTTGGTGTATCGTTGATGCCTTCCTAAAAATCCCCCTGTAGGGGGACATGCCCGACCCTAAGTCTACGACGGAAGGTTTTCGGCCCTCGCCGGCCCTCGCCGACCCAAGTCTACGACGGAAGGTTTTCGCCCAAACTCCCCCTGTAGGGGGACATTCAGGAGGGAAAAAAACACACAGACACAATTAATCGTCGATTTCCCCAAAAATATAGGAAAATATGGGAAGTGGTGGGGAAGACAAAAACCCAGAAAATATAGGAAAATATGGGGAATCGTTTTATTTGTGTGTATTTGTTTGTGTGTCCCAGTTTTCCTTCAGACATGCCCGACCGAAGTCTACGACGGAAGGTTTCCGGCCCTCGCCGGCCCCTCTGCCGTGGGCCCTCGCCGGGCCCTCGCCAGGGCCGTGAGAGGAGGCGGCTCCCGGCACGGGGCGCCGGCTCCGCGGAGGCGGTCCAGGCCTCGGGGGCGCCAGGGCCCGAAGAGGTCAGAGGCCAGAGGTCAGAGGTCAGAGGAGGAGGAGGAGGAGGAGGGGGGGGAGGAGGAGGAGGAGGAGGAGGAGGAGGAGGAGGAGGAGGAGGAGGAGGAGGAGGAGGAGGAGGGGAGGAGGGGGAGGAGGAGGGGAGGAGGAGGAGGAGGAGGAGGAGGAGGAGGAGGAGGGGGGGGACGTGCCTCGCCGTGCGTCCGCTGTTCCTCTACTCGTGGCGCACTGTGCACGGCACCTTAAAGCCGCCGGCGCGCCCCTCACCTGCCGACTCGGCGGTCGGGCCTCCCTCCTCGTCCGCGGCCGCTCTCTGCTTCTCCACCCGCTCCGCGCGCCTCGCGCCTGGCGCGCCCCGCCCGTCTCGACCCGCGCTTGCGGTCGCCCGCGCTGCCGACCAAGAAGTCTGGGACAGGGCGGACGGGGGGGGAAAGCTGCGGCGTGCTGCAGGTTTCGGCCCCTCCGCCAGGCACCTTCCGCGATGTGTGGCCGCCTCTGGGCCTCTGGCGCCAGGAGGCGCCACAGAAGCAGTTGCGTGAGCTGATTCGGTGACGTCCCCTTTCCCGCCGCCCCCTTTCCCACCACCCCCTCCCCGAGAGCCGACGTCGCCGCGAAGAATCCAACCATCCAGGAAATGGCGCACAGATCCCAGGTGCGCCAACTTTCTGCGGCGTCCCGCGAGCTGGATCGCTGCATGAGGGCTCCGAGGCCCAGGACCTCGGCAAAAAAAGGGTGCAATGCGAGAAATACGAGGAACGTCCTGGAGGCTTCGCGCGGCGCGCAACAGTTGTGCTATCCAGTGCCCACGTTCGCCCCGTCAGGTACGGGACGATGTTCGCGCGGCGATGTGCCGACGTGAATCCGGAGTGGCTCCGACGTGAATGCCACGTAGCCCGACGTGAACCCGACGCAAATCCGACGTGGGTCCGACGCACATCGGGCATCAGGATGCCGCGCGAGGCGTCCAGGATTTGCCCCTACAACCAGGAGCCGCGACGCCCGGGTTCCAGAGCCCGCGCCGACCCGACCCGACCCGTCTTCCCCCCCACCATCGAGGGTGAAAGAGCCCCCAACCCTGATAACACGAGGAACACGTGGCCTCACTGAGGTCCCCGTCTTCGCGCCAGGAATAACAGATCTGGGCTGGTCGGTCTGATACCTCTGCAAGAACGACCCCCTGCCCCTGCTGCTTCTGGCCCTCCTAGCTTAGGTCCCTTCCCTAAGGGTTAGGGTTATGATGTCCCTGACGAGAAAGAATTCCGAGCACCAGAAAAAACCTAAACGGGAGGGTTTTCCCGTGTCGGGCCCTGGGAGGCGATACTCGCCCGACACCTTTTGCCGGCGTGTCGGACAGACACCGTTGTTCGATATTTCCCTGGGTGTTCGAACTTGTTTGCGGGATGTGGTCCTTAAGTGCGATGGGAGCAACGTAAGGTTAGGGGTACGTTCCCAGACCCCCGACGTCATGATTTTTTCATGACCCGACCTCCAGAGGTCTGGACCCCTTCCCTGGGACCTGCTGGCTTCTCATCCGGCCCTTCGAGTCGTCTTCCGACTCTCCCGAGTCCCGGCAAGACCCCCCTGGCGCCGAACACATGGCGAGGACCCCCGCGTCGTGATTTTTTTTGCAGCGCGAGGGGGTCCGGGTGAGGTTCGGGGTACACCTTAGGCGATGCTTAAGAAAACTTGAGTTTTCGGCCAGCGTCTCGATTATTCTTAACGTTTCAATGTAAATCCTAAGATTTTAGTAGACATGTTGGGTTTTTATTCAAGTTCTGAGACTATGAATTTCTTAACCCATGATTTCTTAAGCATCTCGCAGGGTGTACTTCTCTCGCCTCCCGCCCCAGGCGGCGCTCTTCCGGCCCGCCCGCGCCTTCCTGCAGCGCACGGCCTGGAAGGCCGGGGGCGGCCCGCGGCGGGGGCCGCCGCCACCCCGCTCTCGTCTCGGCCGGCCCGGGGGGCGCGGTCGGGCGCGGGCGCTCGGGGCGACGAGCCCCCTCGAGCAGGGCTCCTTTCGATGCCGTCGATGCGATTCGATTCGATCTCGACGGCTCCCGATTTCGAGTCCGATTTCTCACTGGAGGCCTACAAGCCTGCCGATGTCTGCCGGTTCGACTCTTGCCGATTCGGCTGCCGAGGTCCGTCGACCCGATTCATGCCGGTCGCCGATCCGACTTGTCGATCCGATTCTGGGCTCTCCGGCTCCAGGCGGTGCGGTCGGAACGGGTGCGGACAAAACCGGGGGGAGCAAACCCGGACCCCCTCCGGCGTTATGACAAAAATCACGGCGGGGGGTTTGTCGCTATTTTTTCTGCGCGTGGGGGCCCTTGCGGGGCCTCGGGGCGGTCAAAGAACGACTCAAAATGAAAAGCCGTGCCCAGGGAAGGGGTCCTGACCTCGGGGGGTCGGGCCATGAAAAAATCATGACGTTGGGGGCCCGGGGGCGACATCCTGGCGTCTCAGTTTTGTCGAGCCGGGCGTTTTCGCTTCCTTTCGGGCCTGGGGACCCTCGCAGGTCGATCGGGCTCGGAAAAGAAGCAGAAAGATGGGGTCGAGGGCTCCAGGCGTGTATTTTTGCACGATGTTGCATTTTTTTCGCTACGATCTCAGGGAAGGCGGGGCGAGGACCACCAGCAGTTCGCGTTCGCGTGGGCGACTCCGAAAAGAACACGGGGTCGTCTGCGCCGGCATTGGCGCGTGCGCTGCCCGCGCGAGGTCGCTCGTCGGACCCCGCGTCTCCCAAGTAGCGTGCCGCGCTGGAGGCCCGCGCGAGCCGCCACGTGAGGTCGTCCCTTGCGTGAGGCCTGCTCTTTTTTTCCCGTCGCTCATTTTGAACAGGGCTTGTGCCGCCACGGGCGCCGTCCATTCGAGGCAGACGGCCGCCTGCCCGTCAGCGGCCGCGGTCGGTTTGGGACAACAGCTGTTGTTGGGCATCGTTCGGGAGGGACGAAAACACACAGGCACAATTCATCGCCGATCCCCCGGGAGATATGAGGAAATGTGAGAAGTGGGGTGGAAGACGACACCCCAGAGAATATGGACAAATATTGGGAATCCTGGGATTTGTGTGTGTGTGTGTGTGTGTGTGTGTGTTTCTTTGTGTGTACCTGGGTCCTTTCAAAGAATCGAGGCGCGGTGCCTGTCGCAACGTTTTAGCCTCCTATGGGGGCCCCCGCCGTGCCTCGGGGCCCTCGGGAGGCGCACCGCCTCCGGGTGCTCGTGCCCGAGGAGGGCTCGGTGACGCGGGGCAGACGAGGCCTTCGGCGAGCGCCCAGTGTCTGCGGAGCTCTACGGCCCCGGGTCGCGTCTGAGGCTGTTCCAGTCAATGCGCGGGAGTCGTGCTCTCGTGAGCGGCCTCCTCACAAGTTGAATGCTCGGGCGCCGCGCTCTCGGCGTCCAGGAACCGCGCTCTCGCGCGAGCTCTCCTTGCAACTTACTCCAGAGGTCGTGCTCTCGTCTGAGGCGTCTGCTCTGTTGGCACTATCTCCGGAGATCGTGTTATCACGGGCGTCCAGCACGGCAGACCAGTACGACCAGCACGGCAGACCAGCACGGCAGCCCAGCACGGCAGACCACGGCAAACCAGTTCGACAGACCAGCGCGGCAGACCAGCGCGGCAGCCCAGCGCGGCAGCCCAGCACGGCCGACCACAGGAGCACGGCAGACAAGACACGGCAGACCGCAGCAACACCGTAGACCGCAGCAACATGGCAGACCAGCGTGGCAGGCCAGCACGGCAGATCACCATGGCAAATCACAGGAACACCGCGGACCTTAAGCATCGCACGCTGGGGGTCACCGAGGCGGCGGTGTCGGGGATCGAGGTGCTGGTGGCCCGCCTCCACTTCCAGCGCTTTCTCGGGCCCAAAGGGATGAATCTCGACATGTTAGCGGCGTTCGGCAGCATTGTGGCGGCGGCGGGCCGCATGCCGTGGCTCCTGCAGGCCGACGTCAGCATTGAGCCCTGGCCCCTCGACGAGCTCGGCTGGCCCACAGGGCAACGTGGCGCCTACCTCGGGCCGTGCGACCCCACCGGTTTGGCGGAGGACCAGGAGCACGTGCACGACTGGTTCGTCAGCGCCTGCAGCCTCGCCACAGCACGGCTATCTGCAAGGTGCTGAGCGGCTACGGCTCCACCCCCGCAAGCCAGTTATGCTGCAGCTGCAGGACGTGGAGGCCGATGCGCTGGTGCAGGTGCTAGCGCGGCCTGGGCGTTTCCCCGACGTCGACGCCGGCGATTGCGTGGCGTCTGCAAAGGCAGTGGTACAGGCTTCCGGGAGGGTCAGCAAGGACGAGTGAAGGCCAGCTGCGGTGGCCTGGTGCTGGGACATTGGCGCCTGCCCCAGCGACCTCGCGCGGCGGTCCGTCAGTGGGTCCAAGCCGCTGAGGGCGCGCTGATCGAGATCCACGAAGTCGACCGCACCAAAGCAACACTACGTCGGCCGTGCCGCCGGTCCGCGGCTTGTCCTCAAGCCCATGCGCGCCTCGGTCTGGAGGGGCACTGCCTCCGCCGCTCGAACCTGGCCCGATGCATTCGCCCAGCCCTCGACCTGGCGCTGCAGCGGCCCGCGGCGCAGCGGGCGCGGAGCGGCGGCGGGCTCCTCACCAATATTGGTGCGAGGAGGCATCGCGCTGCGCCGAGCTCCTCTCGGCCGCCACGGAGTGGGCCCGCGGCGAGGTGGGGGGGGCAGCGCCCTCGGCCCCGGCGCCAGCGATTGGGGCGGTCTCGTCTTCCGCGCGGGGGTCACTGGGATGCTGGGGCCATCGGTGTGCTGCAGCAGCGGCTCGCGAGCCCCCAGCGCCGCGACGGCGCCTCGAGCTCGGCGCCCTTGAAGGCCCGGGCGAAGGGGGCGGTGCAGCGCGGGGGCCGCCCGGCCCGCGGGTTTGCGAAGGCCGCCCCGCCTCCGCAGGTCAGCGGCCCCGGCGCAGGGGGATAAATTCAATATGATTTATATAAAGATAAGGGGAAAGAATGAAGCCGCGGCGCCCATCGCGCGTCTCGAGCGCTGTCAGCGTTGAGCCCCCCCGTCGCTAGCGCGCGATCTCGGGGGGGGTGGGGGGGGGGGCGAGGGCCCGGAATCGAACTTCCATGGGCAGCGCCTGGGCATTCTATCCAGACGGGTCGGCGGTGGGGGCGCGCGAAACGCGATGGGCATGGGGCATGGGCCCGGCCGCGAAGGGCCCCGGACATGCTGAAGAGCCGGAGTGAATTCGGAATCCGACCGTGAAAGGCGCCAGAAAGAACAGGCGACGGAGAAAAGGCCGACGACAGAAAACAATGCCGACGACGAACAACATTAGCCGACAACAGATGCACATATGGCCGACGACGTTCAAATGACAAAGAAGCAGTTGCCGACGGCGAGCGCGCGCGGCAGGCGACAAACTCCGCTGGCGGCGCAGAGCCGCGACAACATCGGAAGCGGCGACGGCAAAATGCTTGTGGATGATGTGTAACACAAATTGAGGAAGCGCCGTTCGTATTGCAGTTTGGGGCAAGTGTGTCGCGCGATTTGGTCGGGCGATTTTTCGTCGCGCGCTCCTCGCGCCTGGAAGGCTCGCGCCCGCGCCGGGATTTCCCGCGCGCGCTGGTGCCTTCGCGAGCGCGCTGCGCGTGGTGGGATTGGCGCGCGCTGTAGATGCGCGCGCGCCGATGCCACCGCGTGCGCGCCTTCGCTGTGGGCGAAGCGCCAGGCGCGCGCGCGTCATCCCTGCCGCGCGCGCGCGTCAGCGGCGCGAGACGAGCCCGGCGCGCGCCGCTGGCGCGCGCGCGGGGGGGAGGGGGCGACCCGCGCGCGAGCGCAACGAAATGGCGACTCACCGAGAAGGGCGCGTAATCCGTCCGCGTCGCGCGCGGCGCGAGACCGGCGTCGACGCGAGAGCCATGATTCGGGGCGGGCGGTGGTGTCGCGATGATCGTCTTCATCCCCGAGGCTGGTGAAGGGGTTCGGCCAGTCGCCCTGGGCCCCCTGCCCCTTCGGATGTAGAGCGGGCTCGGGCAGCCGATCCTCCCCGATGGGGGGCCGATCGCGACCGCCGTTTTTCTGAAGCAAGGCGGGTCGAGGCAGCGAGGAGGCGGGCTGGCTGCGCGACGCCTTCGCTACCTTCGCAAAGCGGCGCGGTCTCGCGGCTGGGGGCCTTCTTGGACGCCGAGTTCAGCGGGAACTTGCGGCGCGACGTGTTCTGGCGGCGTGCGATCGCCCGCGGGTTCTAGCCCCGCCTCCTCCGAGGCTTGCTGGTGATGCGCAGGGGCAGGCGCTTCCTGAGCTGCGTGGGCCTCGCATCGTCGACCTTCGCGGGGCTGGGCGCGGTCCTCGAGAGATGCGCCTGCGCGCGCTCGCGAAGCGGCTCGGTGATCCCTCGCGGGGCCGCGGCTGGACCTTCCACCGCGCCCTGCAGGCGCAGAACCTCGGCGCTGGCGCCGACGTCGCTGGGCGCGGCGTCCGCGGGGGTCAGAGCAGGGCGTCGGGGCAATGGCGCGGGCGCGCGGGCTGCGGCGCCTCGTGGCGGCGGACGCGCAGGTGGGCCCCGCGGCCGGCGTCGCGTGGGGCCGCGCCGTCGCGGGCGCCGCCGACGGCGAGCTGCGCTGCTGGCGGATTGTGGCGGCTCGCAGCGCGGGCAAGCTGCCCAGCGGCGCCGCGCTGGGCTTCCGCCCGCGTCGCGCTGAGGCGGCGCGGCGTCGGGGTTGCGACCCGGGCGCGCTTGCGGTTGACTCCGCGGAACAGATGCTGGCTGCCCTTGTCCAGTCGGGCGAGATGCCGAGCCGCGTGCTGGCCGGGGGCTTGGGGGCGGCGGCGGCCCGCCACGCGGGGGCGGCGAGCGCCTGGGTCCACTGAGCCTCGCCCGTGGATGCCGCGGCGCTGGCGATGTCGCAGATCGGCCAGTACTTGGAGTCCGAGAGGTTCCTCGTCGCGGACCAGGGGGACAAGCTCGACCTCGCCCTTCTGGGCCCGAGGGGGCCCTGCGTCGAGGCGGGCCTGGGCGCGCGTCGAGCGCCTCCGACCGCCGCGAGTTCGCGCGGCTGGCCAGGGGCGGGAGCAGCTGCGAGACCGTTCTCTGGGATGCCATCGCCGGCCTCCCAGGCCTTGTGGGGGCCTGGGCGCGCGGGGGCAGGCGGCCTTCCTCTCCTGCGTCCCCGCCGCGCACTGGGCTGCGGGGCGGCCCCGTCGCGCTGGCGAGCGGGGGCGCTGCAGGTGCTGCGCGTCCGGGGCGGCGCGTGGGGCGCCGTGGCAGTGGCCGTTCGAGTACTTCGCGCTCGAGGGCGTTCGGCGAGACAGCGCGTCAGCGCGAGCCGGGGCCCGGGCGCGCGGCGAGGAGGCATGCCGGGGCCGACTTGGGCGCTCTTTGGATGTCCCAAGGCCGCTTTGGAGGCCTCTCGGGCCGTTTCGGGGCTCCTTGGGGCCGCCTTGGGGGCCTCTTGTGCGGGGCCGGAAAATGACCGCGGCCACTGCTTCTTGTTTGCGCCGCTTTCCAGCCTGCCGAAAAAGCAGCAGTGGTTGTGGTCATTTCCCTGGTGCCAAACTTAACGAAGATGACCACAGCCGCAGCTTTGTTTCTGCTGGCTGGAAGGCGGCAACGAAAGAAAAGCAGTGGCTGTGGTCGTTTTCGCGTCCCGTATCTTGGGCGGTTCTGGGGTCATCTTGGAGGCCCCTTGGGCGATGCTGGGGGCTCTCGGGCCGTTTCGGGCCGTGGAGGGGCCAGCGAGAAGCAAGTGCAAACAATTTTCAAACATTTGATGGACATCGATGTTTTTGGCCTCTTCGGGCATTTTTGGTCGCCCTCTTGGAGGCCTCTGGGGCCGTCTTGGGGACCTCCTGGGGACCTCCTGGGCCGTTTCGGGTCATCTTGGAGGCATCTTGGACCGTCTTGGTGGGCTCTTAATTAGCCCGTCTGGCGCCGTCGGAAGCCGTCATAGGGGTCTCTCTGGAAACCATCTTGGGCCTTTTAGAGGCTTCTTGGCCTTCTTGGGGCCGTCCTGGGGGCCCCTGGGGAGGACCTCCTTGGGGGCCTTTTGGGCCGTCTTCGAGGCCTCTTGCTGGCCTCTTGGGCTGTCTTGGGCCATCTTGGGGCCATCTTGGGCCGTCCTGGAGGGTTCTTGGGCAAACTTGGAGGCATCGTGGATCCTCTTTGGCAGTCTTGGAGGCCACGTTGGACCTTCGGCGAACTTGGAGGCCGTCCTGGGCCATCTTAGCCGTGTTGGAGGCCATCTTGGGGCCATCGTGGAGGAAGATACCGATGGAGTTCCGTTGTTCGGTGGCCGTTCGGGTGGCCAGCGCAATTAACCGAATCCCCAGTGGGAGGTTTTTTGTCGGGAAAAGAATCGACACCAAATCGTACAGGATTCAGCACGCCAGGCACCCATCCCGCCAACGTGTCTGGGTTGTGGGTTAGAGGCCTCGTGGATGTTCGTTTGGATATCGTTGGAGGCCTTTCGGGGCCTGTTAAATGCAGTCTTGAAGCCTCTAAAGGGCCGTTCGGGGACCTCTTGGGGCCTTTTTGGGGGCCGCTTGGTGGCCTTGTGGGGCCGGCCTCTAGTGGGCCTCTTAGGCTCTTTTGGGGGTTTCTCGGGGTCTCCTAAGGTTCCTCTTCGGGTGGAAGGCTCGAATTGTTGGTTCGTGTTCCCCTCTTGGGGCCGTCTTGGGGCCCTTTTGGGCGATATCGGGCGCCTCTTGGGCCATGTTGGGGCCCTCTGGGACCGTCTTGGGGCCCTCTTGGGAGCCTCTTGGGCCTCTTAGGGCGGTCTTGGGGGCCTTTGGGGCCTTCTTGGAGCGTCGGAAGCCCGAGAACGAGCTCGAACATGATCGACCCACGAAGCCGGAAATAGGATTGGTAACTGCGAGGCATGGAACGGCTTCTAAGGATTTCAATTGCACATGAAATTGGGCGATGCCAGAGGGGGCATGTCAGGGTACGTCGCCGCGGAACGTCCCAAGGGACGCGCCAGCGGACGTGCCAGGGGGCGTGCCATGGGGACGCACCGCGGGACGTGCCAAGGAGACGCGCTGCGGGACGTGCCAGTGGACGTGCCACGGGACGTGCCAGGGGACGCGCCGCGTGACGTGCCAGGGGGGACTCGCCACGGGACGCGCCACGGAACGTGCGAGGGAGCGCGCCAGGCGACGCGCCAGGGGACGTGCCAGGGAACGTGGCCCGGGACCGCGCTCCTAGGCACATTTTTTTCAAGCAAAAAACGCGGTTTGCCTCCCCCCCCGCCCTCCCCCCCCAGACACCGCGGAATCAGAAAGGGGCAACGCACGGCGGATCCATTGACGAAGCCAATGCGACGGGACCGCGCTCCCAAGGCCACGATCTTTAGTAAACTGCGCTGCGTCCGCTCTCCCTGGGCAGCGATCACTTGTAAACTACGCTGAATCCGCGCTCCCAAGACGATCCATCCTAAATCACGCGGCGTCCGCGTTCCCAGGGCCGCGATCCCTCATACATACGCGGGAGTCACGCTCTCAAGGCTACGGCCCATCGACAATTACAGTGGAGTCGCGCTCCCAGGGCAACGATCTTTCGGAAATTACGCATGATTCACGTTCCAGGGCCACGGCCCCTAGTAAATTACATTGGGTTCGCGCTCCGAGGGCCACGATCCATTGTAAACTACGATGGGTTCGCACAGGGCCACGATCCTTTGTAAGTTGCATTGCTTCCGCGTCACCAGGGCCACGATCCCTCGTCAATTACGCTGTCTCCACGATCCCCAGGGGCAGGATCACTAATCAATTACAGTACGTCCGCCCCCCCCCCAGAGGGCCAGGATCGCTTGTAAATCACGCTGCGTCCGCGCTCCCAGGGCCACGTTCTTTAGTTCCCTAGTGCATTGCGCTGCGTCTGCTGTAAATTGCGCTGCGCCCGCGCTCCCCAGTGCTCCCCCGTGAAGTACGACTCTGTGTCCGCGCTCCCAGGGCCACGTTCCCTGGTACATTACGCCGTGTCTCCGCTCCCAGGACCACCTGGGCATCCCCTGCGGCGCCCAGGTCGTTCTAAGCTCTGCAAAACGAGCGTGCCGCTACAGAAGACATCCCGAGATGTTCGGCGCGCAGGGCGCGCCACCCTCGAGGCGCGCCCTCCTCGAGCGCGCACGCAGCAACGCAGACTTCTGCCATTTCCTGAAAAATCCAGGAGGCTTTGCCGTGGATTCTGCGCAAAGCGCTCGGCGCCCGCATGCACTTCCGCCCTCCGTCTCGGCACGCCCCTGACACGCTTCGTGGCCCTGCAGGGAGCTCCACCGGAGCCCCCACCTGGCACCGCCCACGTGCGCTTCCACCCCCCACTCGGCGCAACCCTCCATTTCGGTGCACGCCTCACGGGTCGCGCGCACCGGGGCCAGGCCGTGGCGCGGCGCGAGCGCCCGCGCGGGTCCCTGCGAGCTCCCGGCGCCCCGCGCCGCGCCGCCCAGGACGCGCCGTCGGTGCAGTTCGCGCGCATCCCGACGCTGCCCGGCGGGAACCTCGCGGAGATGCTGACGAGCGACGAGGCCGTCTACCGCCTGGGGGGGCGGGGGGGCGAGATCTCGGGGCTGCCAGGATCTGGGCCTCCCAGATGGGGCCCGAGTAGGCGGGGTCGAAGGATCGCGCCGCATCGCCGACGCATCGCTGATGCGGCTCGGAGTGGAGCCCGATTCTCTCCACGCCGACGGCGCCGAGGCATCGCCGGCGTCGCCGATGCATCGCGAATGCGTCGGCGATGCATCGGCGATGCAGCACTCGGCGATGCGTTGGCGATGCGGCGCGATTCTCTGACCCCATCCAGTCGGTCTCTATCCAGGAGGCCTCTACAGCAGGGATGTGGTGACTGGGGATTGGGGGCGGGCGGCGTGGACGTCAGGGCCGGGGCCACGCGTTACTCCAGAGCCACCTCTTGTCTCGGTGCGTCCTTGAGCCCCCCCCCCTGGGCCGCGCGCGCGCCTCGGGCCACGAGTTGCGACGCCCCTAGGAGGAGGAGGAGGAGGAGGAGGAGGAGGAGGAGGAGGAGGGAGGAGGAGGAGAGGAGGAGAGGAGGAGGAGAGGGGGAGGACCGACGCCCCTCCCTCGGACGCCCCTCCCTCGGGGGACGCCCGGGCTTCGCAGGATTCGGCGGGCCCGGCGTTTTTCCGCCCGGGCCTTCGGGCCGCGGGGCCCTCTCGCAGATCGGTCCGGGCCGAGGGGCGCCGCAGAGAGGTCGGGTAAAACGACGCGAAGGTCGGGACAAAATCGGATCGGGATAACTCGAAATCTCTGAGAATCGGCGGGTTTGGAGGATGTATTGGGCGCCGCGGCCGCTCCAGAGCGTTCCGGAACGCTCTGAGAGCGCTCCGGAACGCTCTGGAGCGATTTATCCTGATCTTAGCCCTGTTTTATCGGGTCTGTGGGGCTCTGGTGGTAGTTTCTGGCGGCGTGTGGCCCCCGCTCCGCGGCGTCGGATCTCAAGGTGGGCGGGAGTGTGGGAGGATGGCTGCTGCAGTTGGCAGCAGCTGCTGCCGCTGCTGCTGCTCCCCGCCCCCCTCGTCCCTCCTTCCCCCTTCTCTTGCCTCACTCCTCCCTCCTCCCTTCCCCCTCCCTCCCTCCTGCCTCCATGCTCCTCCTGTCTCCCTCCTCCCTCCCTTCCTCACCTCCTCTCCTGTTCCTCCTCTTCCGCCCACCTTCCTTCCACGGTACTGATCGTCGAGCCACCAGGCGTATCGTTAGGGCGGGCTGGGCGTTTTGCCTGAGCCGTCCTCACACCGCTCATGATCCTGAAGCCCGCACGTTCCAACAGCTGCATGTATGGAGCGCGTGTGGTTTGCGCAAAAAGGTGCCCTTCGTCTTCGCGCCGCGCTCATTCGTCCGGAAAGGTTCCGACAGCTGCACGACTGGAGGGCGGCCCGCTTTCAGAATGCTGCTCCCGCCCCAGGTCCGCGCACATCGTCTCGACAAGCATCCAGCACCCACGCGGACGGAGGGAGAGCCTTTCTCAATCTGGGCGAGGAAATCCGAGGCCGAAAACCATCACTTCACTAATTTTGGGCCCCAGGGCCCACTGAGGCCCCAGGGGCCCCAGATTAGTGAAGTGATGTTTTTTCCCACGTAGGGACCCCGAAATTCATCACTTCACTAAACCGAACCCAGGACGAAAGTCAGGGGCCGAATTGCTGCTGTGATGCCACATCGGCCTCGTAGGAAACGGATTCCGGGGAATCCGGGACGGCTCCGCTGGGGCAGAGCTGACTGAAGTCAGCGGGAACACGTGTTGCCTTCCCGCGAGAGGTCGACGGCGCTGGCCCACGGCCATCTTGGGCTCAGGCTGCCCGTCGTCCGGGGAGGCAGCACAGGACACATCCTTAGGTTCGATGCTCGTTCTGGGGACCTTCCTGGAGCCCACCTAACGGATCTGTTCGACCCCAGTTCGACTCAAGTTCGACTCAAGTTCGACTCAGGTTCGACTGAGGTTCGATTCAGGGTCGACCCAACTCGACTGATGTTCGACGCAGCTTCGACGCACGAGTGGAGCGAGTGGCTCCAGGAAGGTCCCCAGAACGAGCATCCAACTTAGGTCATTGTATCGCCTCTTGTTGTGCACACTCGTTTGCCTCAGACTGATGGCCGCGCGGGTGAAGCTCGCCTTCGCGCTCGCGGCAGCCGCCACGGCAAACGAGGAGGGCTTCGGCTCCGGCCTCGTGCGGTGAACTGCGGCTGGCCAGGCGCAGGTGGAGACGAACAAGAGTTCGGTCGCTTGATGTCTCACGATGGACAGCTGCGTCTACGGCGTGTATTTGGGCAGTGCGGCTCTCCTCACCAGCGGGGGTCGGACCGATCGGCGGGCAACCAAGACTGTCACGTTCACTCCTGACGGAAATTGCTTGACAATTTTTGGATGTGATCATGAGGGAACTCCAGAATGCGTCGCGTGGCGTCGTCGGAGTACAACTCCCCTGAGTCCATGCCGCCCAACCTGTCGAGGTCTCCCAGGGCGTCGCGACGGGCTGGTCGCAGGTGCCACAGTTGCGACTCCCTCCACTGTGGGTTGTCCAGTGAATCGGTCTCCGTCCTGTCTGTGTCTTGGGAAGGATCTGGGGTGTTGGTGGATTCAGTGTCAGCGTGGCCTGGGAAATATGAGCTCTCGTCAGGGTCGGACGCCTCGTTGGCGTCGTATAGACGCTGCAAGTAAGAGCTAAACGCCTGTCTGTCAAACATCATTTCTTCTGTTACCGTCCCCTCTGAAACCTCAGAAGAACCTGTGGCGCCATTGAACTCTGGGCCCGCGTTGTCTGAGCAGCGAGAACTCCCCCCAACGTCCTCGGAGGCGTCGGTGACGACATACCCGGTTGCATCTGGCCCCGGGAACTGCGCGAGAAAGCCGATCTCCGCGTCGGGCTGGCAACACACGTCGCCGTCGCCGAAGACATCGAACCCGTCTTCAAATACTTCAACAGCAATCACATTACGATTGTGTATCTGCACCTCGTACTTCTTTGGAAGCGCATCGGGGCATGGACTCTGAACGTACTCCAATGCCTTCCCGAACGGCTCGAGGAACCAGTTGCCGTCGCGGAGTGCCCAGTGAGGCCCGTCCTCATCAATCGCGACTTTGTGCCCAAGGTTTCGCACGGACTTCTTGAGGCACGCATCGGTGAAAGGCACCTTGCGAATGCCAGTTGGCCCACGTACGGCGTCGAGCACTGCCGCGAAGAGCAGCCGCGCGCCGATCGTGGCGCAAGGCATCGCAGGGCCCACTGCGGCACGTCGCCCTCCCTGACCAGCACTGGGTACGCCGCCGACGTCGACAACCTGCGGCGAGGCGTCGTCCATCTCCTTGCTTCAGTCCGCGGGGGCAGCATGGTTGGCGTCGGCTGCTTTGAAGTCAGGCGTCGCGCTTCTTGGCTTCAGCACACCGCGGCGGGGAATCTTCACCGCCGTCGCTAGCCATCGCGACGAGCGAGCGCGGCTCCCGACTCGCCCAAAACCAGCCTCTCACTTGGCGGCAGGTGGACACGGCGTCCAGCTTGATGTGGCAGTGCTCGCCCTTGAACGATACCACCAAGCAAGCCTCATTGTAGGCGCTGCTCCCGCGGACGACGGTGCCCTTCATGCCGTAGCTGGCGTCCCTGAGGGCCCAGTGCACCGCCTGCCCCACGACGTGGCCGTGAAGCAAGGGCTCGGGGTAGAACAAACCGCCAGGATCAGACAGAGTCTCGCGTAAGTCCTCGCTGTTTTATGCCGCGTGAAAGAGCCCGTCTTTGATCTTCAGAACCAATCGGCTGCGCAGCTGTCGCCGTACGCCGCCATCTCGGCGCGCGGAAGGAGTTGCAGCGGCGCGGTAGAACAACACATCGCAACAGATAGCGCCACGAACGTGGACCACGAGTCGCGTTTGAGACAACACGGCTGTGGATGTGGGGGCGACAAAAAAGGAATGCACCTGCCAGCGGAGACCACGGTGCGTGAGTTTTGCGACCTGTTGCCCCCTGGCGTTCTGCGCTGTTCCTCCCATGCAGTATTATCATGAGTGGAGCGTACTTGAACTTGTTCTGATACAAAACACATAAGCCCAGAAGGTAATATCGAAACGCGATATTTCGCATATTTTTCAACACCCACAGAAAGGTCAGAAACGCATCACGTGCGACATTTAAGTCCGTCGTCTTTCGGTTGGGCTCGCCTACGCTCCTTGAATTCGCGTACCCCGGGAGGAAACCACCATATACCCAGACAGTAAGATCGAACAGCCAAGTTTCAAATATTTCTCGAACCCCCGCAACAAGGGTCAGGAACACATACTTTGCGAGATACGCGTTTTTCTTCTTTCAGCGGGGTTCCGTTTCCTTCGTGGTCCCCTCGTGGCCCCTTCGTTTCCCTCGTGGTCCCTTCGTCGTTCCTTCGCGCGAGGGCATCCCACAAGCGGATGCCCCTACATTTTAGCGAGGCTGGCTCTTCTCACTCGCTGGGCACTGCTTGGCCGCTCACGCCTAGTAGAGCGTATTGCAAGTCGGGCAGCATGCCGACCTCGCCCTGCATGTCGTACAGCTTGCGCTCGAGGACGTTCTTGCGCCTCGTCTGCTTCGTCAACTCTGCGCCGACCTTCAAATCCCGCAGTCTTTCGGCTTCTCTGCCCTCGAGCCTCTAGGTAGTTCTTCTTCCAGTTGTTCGCCTGCGCCCTCGCCTCCGTCGCGTCCGTGCGGAAGTGACGCGGGCTTCTTTTTGCGCTGCGCATGTGCTGGCTGGACCGCCTCCTGCGGAAGTGCACGACAAAAGCACGACGCTGATGTATCGTTTCCACGCCGCACGCACAACAGCCATTCTATTCTGAAAGTTTCGAGGCAGAGCCACAAAGTTCCTCAGGGTGTCCGCCTCGCCTTTGCACTTCTTTGAGCCGCCTGCGCAGGGCGGTGCTTCAGCTTGGCGGCGGCCGCGCGGGCTCCAGCCGCCATCAGGCGCCGCGCGCGTGGCTGGAACAGGAATGGTTCAACACGTGTTGTTTTGCCTTGCAGTCGGCGCTTTTCCTTCTTGTCGCCGCGTAGGCTTTCGTGTCCTTTTTAGGGTTTCTCATTTGAGCCGATTTGAGCCGAAACCTCGGCGCGGCGCGACCACGACCCGAACGGGCGCATGATGGGGATACACAAGGTGAGGGGACTCACAGAAACAACGAAGACGCTGCCGACGAGGTCCAGGAAGAGCAGGAACAGCAGGAAGAAGGGGGAATGCGACGAGGGAGCATAGTGATACAGAAATGTAGCGATGAGAGTAATGCAGAAGGGCTAGGATAACGATGATAATGATATAAGTGCATGAAGAATCGCAGGATGAACGCAATAATGCAGAATAGGCCAGTGAATACGAGTATAATCAGTAAACTGATGATCCATTGTGTTCCAATAAAGAAGACACCCATCATACGATCAAGGGGTCTCACGCCCCCCCACCCCAGCGGGCCCCGGGACAGAACTTTGTAAGGTCATTAGTATCCGGTGTCGATTCGTTGACTTTTTAGCCTGCGGGCGCCCCGCGGGCCCCCCGAGGCCTCAGGCTCCCTCCGGGCCTCCCGAGGCCTCGCGCTCCCTTCTCCCGTGGCTCGAACTTTGTTAGTCTGCGTACGTGCCTATAGAGCAGGCCTCTCGTGTGGCTCGAAGATTGCCCCTTTCCTGGAGCTCGAACCCTGTGTGTTTTACGTGCGTGCCTATAGATCGCCCGTCTCCTGTGGCTCGATTCCTGTGCGTTTTACGTCTGTGCCTATCGATTGCCCTGTTCCTGGAGCTTGAGCCCGATGTGTGTTGACCAATGTTTCAATCTATTGCCCCTGTCTTGTGGCTCGAATCCGGTATGTTTACGTATGTGCCTATAGGTTGCCCCTCTCCTGCGGCTCGAATCTGGTTTGTTTTACTGATGTGCCTACATATTACCCGTCTCGTGTGTGTTTACGCATGTGCCTGTAGATTGCCCGTTTCCTGTGGCTCTAATCCGATGTGTGTTTGCGTATGTGCTTATGGACTGCCCTTTCTTTGTGGCTTGAATCAAGTGTGTTTCATGCATGTGCCTATATGTGGACCGTCTCCTGTGGCTCGAGTGCCCTGTGTTTTACGTATGTGATATAGGATTACCTTGTCGACATCACGAACTTCACCCTCATCAGCAAGTTCAAACCGTAGTAGTATCGACAATCTGATGAAGTCATTCTCGCAAGCCGACGTTTCAGGCGTCCCTCCGCTTCCACACCTTAGCTGCTATCAGGGTGCTTTGCTGGTCTTTTTGCCGAGGCCTCTTGGGGCGTCTTGGGTGCCTCCGGGAGGCCTCTTGGGGTGTCGTGGAGGTCTCTTGGGAGCCTCTTGGAAGCCTCTTGGGGGCCTTTTGGGGGCCTCTTGGGACCTCCTAGGCAGCTCTTGGGGCCGTCTTGGGGCTTCCTTGGGCCGCCCCCGGCTTTGTTTCTGTATGGTCTCTGAGAGCCGCCTCCCTCATCCTCTTCCCGCCTCTGCACGAGGTCTCTAGCACTGCCCGTTCGGGAGGGCTGTGCTCCCCCTCCCCCTTCTCATGAGACGCGGAGTAAGCAGCTCAGCAGGCGCTGCTCATCACCGGCAGAGGCTATCCAAGCCCCAGCCGCAGCAGGGCAGGTTCGCTCTCCTGGCGTGCCCCCCCGTGCGTGGGGATGGAGTGCCGCCACGGAGAGCCGCAGCCGTCTCGACCCGAAGGGGGCAGGTAGGCCAGCGGGGCCAAGGTGTCCCCTCTCCCAGGGTGGGGGTCGCAAGTGCCCAGCCTTTCTGGGCCTCCCAGACGGGTTCCAAGCAGATGGGGTCGGAGGTCGAGACCACTTCCCCAGGGCCAATTTTTCGTCCTGAGTCCTCCTTTGACGCTCCGGAGCCCCTGCGAAGGCCCCCGGAGACCGAAAACGGTCGAAAACAATCCACTCCAAAATTTCTGGATCGTCGGATCTCTGGGATACCAAGAACACCGCTAGCCCGCCTACGGAGGGAGGATGTCGGATGTGTTTCGTGCTCACATGTTGGGCCCATGGTGGCCTCCTGCGCTCTTTCCTGGGGGAGGAGGACGAGGGGACGGCGTGAGGAAGGAAGATGCGGGAGGAGGACGGGTGGATCGAGGGAGCAGGAGAGCGACCTGGAGACCTGACGCTCCAGAACAATGGAAGCGGGCAGTTGTTGCCCGTTTTCGGCCTCCAGGGGCCCTCGCTGGGGCTCGGGTGCGTCATCGCCGACGCATCTACGATGCGGCTCGAGGCGGAGCCCAGTCGTCTGCACGCTAGCGTCGCCGATGCTCCGCCGTCGTCGCCGATGCATCGTCGATGCGTCGCCGATGCATCGTCGACGCATCGGCGATGCGGCACGATCCTCCGACCTCATCTACTCGGAACCCGTTTGGGTGGCCTCTAGCCTTCGGCTGCGCGGAAGTGGCCTCAGGCGCGGGCCCACCTGGGGCCCCCCGTTCGCTGGTGCGGTGCGACAGCAGCGGCTTGCGCGCTGAGGCTTGCCCCCCCTCCCCCCTAACCCCCGCCCTTGCCCCCCTACATCAGTATCGTTTAATCTATCCCCATCCCCACTAGGCCATGGTATCTCAGCCCCGCCATCCCATCCCCGTTGGGGACGGGCCCCTCGCAACCCGACGGGAGCAACCTATATCCCCCCTATACACGGGTGGTACATCGGCCAGTGGGACCAAGGCCGTACCAGTGAGGATGGGGACCGGGTGAATGATGCCCACCGCAGCTGCGCACCACAGGCCTCCCTCGCCCAGGCCCCCCCCCCCGCGAGCAGCCCGAGAGCTGCTGCACAGGTTAGGCCCCCCTGCGGCGCCTCGCGCCGCGGACGCGTCCCTTTCCCGGAGAGGCGCACCGCGCGGGCCTGCGCCTCCGCGCCGCGCTGCTCTCCGACGGGCCCGCGCGCGGGCGCTTCGGCAG